GGCATTTTGCGACAGCCTTACCCCTAGATGCTGATTGGGAGGGAGGAGGGATGAGGGAGGCAGCCACCATCTTGATTGCTGGCTGCTCTTGGTGCCATCCCACCCCTCAGTGCTGATTGGTGGGGAGGCCCTGGCGGGGGATGAGGGGGCAGCTACTATCTTGTCTTCCCGCCACCCTGCCAGCCAGCGTCTTCTGCTCCCAGCAGCCAGGACCGCTGGCTCCCTTGGGGGAGCTAGCACTTTATTGTTAAGTTTGTTTGTTTTTTTTTTTGTTGATTTCATGGGCAGTCCCAGATTTTGCCATTTCTGTGAAATCTGCAAAACTGCAAATTAAGTAGGTCCCTGTTGATAACTAATAGACTTCACTGTGAGTTAAAATCATTCTGAAACAAGAAAATAAATTCAAACGGTGTGAACATGCACGCATGTGCATGCACATGTTGAAGCATCATATCAGAACAGTAAATGGAAAAGTGCACTGGTACCTTATTTGCATGTAAGGCACCTGTCCTTTTGGGTACTGTGTAGAGGCCCTTCTGGCAATCTGAAATAATGAATGCACTTGTCACAACACTGCCATTTTAGTTATTTGAGGGAGGGTTGCTAAAGAGCGTGTCCAGCAATGGTCATTACCAGTGGGTGAGTGCTAGGATATCTGAATCAAATGGGAGGTTGGGGGTATTTTTATTTCTTATTTTGCATTTCCTATGTGGAGGAAATGTGGAGATGGAGGGCACAGTTATCTCTTATCCATAGATTAGCTGCATTTAAACTTATTTATCTGGATGGCATTAGTTTTCCACAGTCCTCTATGTGCTCTGCAAGCACTGGAAGAAGCTGACTTTGGCTTAAAGGAGAAAAAAAATGGGTGGGGGGTCAAATAAGCATGCTATCTTAATCTTGCTTTTTGTTAATATTTAAACAGTTCCCAGTGACCTAGGCAGTATGCTGTTTTATAGTTCTGATCCAGCCTGGCATGTACAACCCCAGGTGGCTTAAATTTTAAGTTTAAACCAACTAAAATCCTGGCTGTGTCTTACCTATGACCTCTTAACACTGTGACCCTAACTTCCTATGCTGCCACTTCCTGAGCCTTCCTGGTGACAAGCCTGTGCTGCTCCCTCTGCATAAGTTGTTTATATGATGGCAGCACGCACAGCTGTCACTGCTCGGCTGTGTATAGAGAACAAAGCTGGGTTCAGCCCAAAAGAACAAACTATTGCAGTTGACCAGACAGATTCAGGAAGAAAGGAAGTGAAGGACGGGCAAGCAGTGTCCTATTAAGTCCTCATTTTGTTTGCTTTTACTAAATTTCTGGTTGCACTTTGTTGTGCAACCAGCAAACAAAACCCTACAGTATAGGGCAGTGCCTTTTCATGTGGACAGGTCAGAAATTCAAAAAAGTCATTAACATTAGGAGAACTCCTGGGTGATGCCACCCTCTTTCTAGCTACAGTTGGAGGCAGAGGGGAAACCAGGCATAGCCCTTGGCATGGGTGTGATCCTAGGCCCTTGTGCTCCTGCTCCCCCAACTGGATGTTCTTCCATTCCCTTCCCTTGGCATGCTCGCTGCTGGCTGGTCTGAGTCACTTGCCCAACCTTTGGGCTTCTGGATGTTGTTTCAGTCTTCATCAGCAAACTTGACAGAGCTACTAGTTGAATTCATTACCTTCAGACATCATCTACAGCACTGCTGGCTTACTCCCTTTTCTGATGGCGCAGGCATAGGAAATGAGCCGGTAGCCTTCTAGGAGTGCTGGGGTTGTTTGGGAGGCAGCAAATAAACGTGTGCTATTTTAAAGGCAGGCAAGGTTCTTTGGATAAATCTGGTATCTTGTATCAGGCCAACTATTTGAGCCTTTATGCAAAGGTTTACGCAAAGAGCCTTGCCTGCCCGTGCCCTTAGACCAACATGACTACAATGTATACCCCTGCTTTATAAAATTGTTTCCTTTGCCAGTCTTCATAGACAGGCTCTGGATTGGACTGGGTGCAAGGTTAGATGTGAGACATGTTGATGGGACAGGTGGAGTAGCCTGCAGGGCCACTTCCCCTGCCAAAAGTCAGTGTGGCTAAATGATTGTAATCTTTAGGACGACATCTTAACTGGCACCTGTAATTTCAGACATGGTTTTAAAATTTGTTCCTGGTGTCTCTTTTTCCTAGTTTGCAAGACAGTCAGCAGGAAGGCCTGGGGATTCCACCCTCTTGACTGATGGACCATCTCTGGATCAAGCCTTTCTATATCCAATCGGCAGGCGATTTTAAATCTCCCATAGCTAATTCTAGATGCCCTTTAATATTGTGAGCAAATAGACTGTCTGGTACTAAGCACTCCAATGTTAGCACGTATGTGAAGGAGGTAGCTCCTTGGAGACGTGTGACTTAGAGATCGCTGTATTTACGACTCCTCCCTCCTTTTTTTCATTGTGTTCAGACCAATTTCCATGTGGCCCTGTTTGAGTTCCAAGTGACATTTTTAGCTGAAATAGTCTTGTGATGTGGTGATTTAGATCTTTTTTGTTTGTTTGTTTGTTTTTTAAACTGGGATAAACTGCCACCTTTTCCTGCCCAGCCCTTCACCATTCTTTGAGTTACCATTTGGAGAGGAGAATTGTCAGTATTTATTATCAAGTGCAAAGCCATCCCACAAAACGCTGGGCTCCCAGGGTAACGAATTTTATTGGCATAGCCTTCAAAAAGCAGTCAAGAATTGTCAGGTCCGGGTCCTGGCCTGCTGTTAAGATACCACCATACATGGCCATTGCATAGCCCCACCTGGTCTCGCATCAACATGCATGACTTAAAGGGACTGACCAGCAAGTATCCTTAGTGTGTGAATGTAGAGTCCCAGAATCCATCGCTGTTGAGCTGTGGTCTAGCTGTGCGTGGTCTCCTCGGTGCTTGGAACCATGCTGCTGCTCTCTAGTTGTATATGAATGAGCCTTACAAAATTATTATGAAAATGTACTGGGCAAGTGTCGCAGTCTTGGCCCACACTGTACAAAGACTGATCAGAATTTGTGAAATTGACACTACTTCATTTGTCCATAAATGCTCATTATTATTTTTTTTTTTTATGGACAAGACAGTATATTGCAAGGCTGGTATGTGTAGTAATCTCCATATTCAATCACGTTCAGGTGCCTGAGTCTGTGCTGCTGTTCTGCAATAACACTTCTGTTCATTCAACTTGACGTAAGGTTTGCTATTACTTATTTTGCTTTTTTATGCTGTAAAAAGGCAAGTTTGTAAGATCCAGGACTGACTCCACAAGACGCTTGCAATTTCTTGAGTTGGAAAGGACGTTGCCGAGGGGTAGAAGATAGCGGACTGTGAAATTTAGACTGTAACTGTCTTTGTGTCGATGATCTCAGCTTTAGACAATCAGACGAGCAGGAAAGAATCACTAATTATTAAATACACGAGGAAACAGGAGTAGGAGAAGCAAGGTGAAGGCCAGTGTTTTCCTCGTAGCGGGTCCTGCGCATTCAGATCCACTCCCTTGCCAAGGCGGGCTGCAGGCACGTGAAGCGCGGACGCCAGGGCAGCCAGGTCTCTCCCGAGCCGCCCTGGTTTTACACCGTCCCTCCGGCCCTGGAGCCAGGCAGGCGGCTCTGACCCCCTGTGCCAGAGCCCGGAGGGGCGGGAGGCAGAGCGGCTCCTGGGTCAGTCCCTGGACAGGGGGCAGTTTATCCCTGACCTGTTGTTTTCTGTTCTAGTTTGTTCTTTTGCCTTACTGCTGTCAAAGTGCAATAAGCTCTGACCGTGCCGGTAACGGGCCGCCCCCCGCGGTGATTCCGGGGGCGTTGGGGGGAGGGGGCAAGCTCCCGAGGCAGAAGTAAAACCGAGTCGTTCTCATCACGTGCTGTCCGTTCTTGACGTGCGCCTGTGGGCCCCGCCCACTTCCCACGCTGGGTGGGGGAGGCAGCGCATGCGCGGGCCGGCCCACGGCGTCGGCAAGTGCCGCCCGCCGGTTGGCGGAGGCCGCAGTGACTGTGCGGGGGGCGGGGCGGGGCTCGGGCTTGTTTGTGTCACGTGAGCCGGGCGCCCT